TGCTGCCGTGCGGTGTGTGCTGCTGCCGTGCGGCGCGTGCTGCTGCCGTGCGGTGCGTGCTGCGCATTGCCGGACGGTGCGTGCTGTGCGCTGCCAGGCGGTGTGTGCTACGCGCTACCGGGCGGTGCGTGCTACTGTGCGGTACTGTCGGGCGGTGTGTGCTGCTATGCGGCCTGCTATGCGTGCCGCTGCCTATGACTGCGCCGCAGTGTGCTGCCGGGCGGTGTATCCATAACTGAATAATCCAAAAAATCTTAATTTATATTGTTTGTACATAATTTTGTGTTGAATTTTGTAGTAATATATAATTATTAATAATATGAATGTTATTAAATCGATTCATTATTTTTTTTTTGTCTTTTTAATAAATATTTTAAACTTATTATAAATTTTGTTAGAATATTTAAATAATTCTTAAATTTTTTAATTCAAACATTCTTTAGATAGATACAGATAAAAAGTGGGGGAGAAGATAAATAAGAATTATTAGTGATAATTTAGGAGATATTCTCTACTAAATTATAGATAACTTAGAAGAAAGTTAGTGATAGGGGGGGTTGTTTAGGATAAATTTTAGGATATTGGATTATTTAGGTTATTGGAACATATGGGGGGGGGGGAGAGAGAGAGAGAGATTTTAGTAAGATTGTTTTGGGGAAAGTAGAGTTTCTAATTGGTAGTTTAAAAATGGCATGGATTAAAAAAATTAAAAAATTCAAAAAAGGAGAAAATTTCTAGACTTCCTTGTTTTAATATATCTATATAGATACTAGCGGGGACCTGTGCGATGCACGGGATTTGTTAAGTTAAAGATAAATAATAGAAACATGTAATAGTATACAATTGTTTTATATAATAATTAATAATCATTTATATTTTATATACTATTTTTAATAATTATTTTACAATATAAAAATAACAATAATTAATTTTAGATAGGGTTATGTTGTTTATCAAACTTAGGGATGTCAATTTTCTCGATCCCCGTGGAGAGCTGCCCCAAGTGGGGCGGGGATGGGGATGATTTCCCCTTGTGGGGCGGAGATGGGGAAATTTTCACCCCCCGTTGACGGGGAGAGCACTCCTTGCCCCACGGGGACCTCGATCATTGTCTCGTGGGATCCCCACTAATATATATGTATATATGCACATATGTTTATATATGTATATATGTACACATACATATGTTAATATTTTTAAAAATATGGTTGAATTAGTTTGAACCTTTTATAATAGGATTTTAAATTTTAATTATTTTATTTTTTATTTTTTAAATAAAATAAAAAACAAAAACATAATGATTAACATTGTAAAGAATCATAAGGAGTGGGGATTCCTGTGAAGACGGGTATGAGGATAACTTTGTCCCCATTAGTGAGGATGGGGACGGAAACGTAAATGGGGATTTTCGCATGTGGGGAGATGGAGGGAAACCAGCAGGCAACTGGTTCTATCTCACCCCTAAACTGTTATTTTGCTAAAAACCATTTACTTGGTCAGCAACTCGTCTCAGCTGGTTTGATTTGAACAATGGTTTTTTTGGCTGTTTTTATTTTTTAATTGCACATGATCAATCTGTTTGGACCAAACGATCAAACGACTGATCCAGAAACCGGAGTCCAAAGCGAAATCGTCTTTAAAAACATTATTATTAATTAAGCCTCTCTAACGTGGACGTGGAGGGAAAATTACATAATTATGTATTATTCTCGCTCTACATGGTAAACTAGTCAGTAGTCATACATGAATATTATATTATAGACCGATTTCCTTTACATTGGAGCATGGGACTAGTTTCTTTAATTTTTGATCTTATCCGAAAATTGCCTCTCCATCTTCTCAACTTGTGTTTTGGAATTCTCCTTTTCCTTGAGAAAAGCTTCAAGAGCTGGAGGGTCAAAAGGAGGTGGCAGCATGCATGGGCTTCTATACGTAGGACCCTTCACCATGGATTCCATCATGTACACTTTCTTTAATCCACCTGCAGGGCAAGCCATGACCTCCGAACAGAGCTCCACAGCCTGTGGAGGTATAGTTGGTTTGTATCTCAATAGCTTTGAGTATTCACTCAGTAGATGAAACATATAATCATACACATTATTCATCTTTAGCTCTTCTTGTATGAAGTTGCTTCCCGCTTTTCCGATGGCCAGTGCCTGCAAAGCCCATATGTTCATGGAGGTTGATGACTTTATATATACGGCTAGAGATTAAGAAACAGAATGAACCATCCAGATGGATATCATATATATCAGTAATATACATATATAAATTAAGCTAGCTAATTAATTAATTAATTAATGAGAATGAAGACCTGGTTTTTGTGTTTGTTGCCCCAGTCGACAGCGAACTTGATTGATCGACACTTGTCGTTGTCTTTAATCGGCCAGTAATGGTGGCCAGGTAATAAGCTTCTGGTGAAGAAGTCATAGAAATGAGGGGTTACTAGTAGAGTGGGTGAATCACAAGCTAGGATGTATTTCTCACTAACGGACCAAGCCGCTCCTTCTATGTACACCTTGTATCTGTATACTTCAATTAATGGAAATTTAATTAATTGTTAAATGTCGAAAATAAAGAAGTCTAAAAGAAAAGAAATTCTATGTATATGATGCTCTCTTCTCTCTCTCTCACCTGTGAGTGCATTGGTCTGCCAAATTTGATTTCTTGAAACCTTGCCGAGACTCACGTACCCAATTCTGCATATATACAATATTTAATATTAATAGTGGGAATGCACAACTTTTCAAAATGAAATATTCATTGGCCATTAATTATTTCTGCCCTTTTTACGATAAAAATTTTATTTTTATTTCTACATCTTCTAATTTGTTTTGATGTTAATAAAAATATAAAAGAAAAAACGTTTCACTGTAAAAGGGATAAAAAAAACTCAAAATTTCAGCACGTATAATAGAATTCAATGAAAAATGGCTAATTATTTGGTCTCGATCGGTAGAATTAAAATGAGGGGAAAAGAATTCAAATCTAATTCTTCTTGGGGCTTAGGCTACTGTGATCAGACAAATTAAGTGTGGATGAAGGTGAAACCTGCACATAGAAGCGTCCGTTCCAATCCTGTTTGTCGGTGACATTACATCTGACGAGGTCTTGCCTAGCCTTACACACCTTGGGGTTTCCTTTCCAGTAGGCATAAGGTTCTCTCTTGTCCCATTTAATCCTCTGATTGCCTTCCTTCAAGTCTTTCAGCAGTGGTATCCATGGCTTTATATTGATTTCTGGCCTGCATGTACAACACTCGGTAAACGTTCAATCAATCAATCAATTGAAAATTCCAATAGTCTTGTGCTTATGATTTTATCAGTATAAGGTGGACTGGTTGATGGATTCCTAGCCAGGCTTATGAATTATGATTTTCAAAGCTCATCTACTACCAGAACTCATGATAATTTATAATAGTCGAGAACTCGAGAGAGCTACTCTTTATTTACCATCCCCAGAACGACCAGTCAGGAAAGACGATGTCCAACGTCCAGTCGTCGCCACAGTAATGAAACAAAGGGGGCGGAGCTGTCGCGTTCGGCCCCTCATAATCTCTTGATCTGATGACCGGACGGTCATTGCAGTTGAACATGATATCAAAGTCCGGCAACCTCCCCGGATACCTCCTCAGAAGCTGTAGAATCCCCCACAGTGTAAACACGTCCCTGGTCTGAAACGAGCTACTGTATTTTTCGTAGTACAGCCTTCCGTCCACCAGCACCAACCTAAAATTTGACTTCGTTCTTGCTCGTTCTACCATCTCTCTCGTGATCCCACTCTCCTTCCACGGTCGCAGATCTTCGTGGATCCATCGGAAATAATGTGGGCACTGTTTTGTTGTTGCACCAGTCGGGAATGAACCGCTTGGGAATGTTGCCGGGAAGCTTGTGGAGCAGACTTGTGACAGGTTATTAACTTGGGAGCAGTTGAGTGGAATCACAAATCCCTCGTCTTCTGATTCTTCCGGAGAATTGGATGAGGTTAGTAATGCTTTCAGCGACACACCACCACTTGAGATTATCGACTGCAGAATTGCGGAAGGAGAGCTCCCTCAGTGTATAAAAAATTCAACTTTTTTCAATGAATGTAAATGAGGAATAGAAATCCACAAATTAAGATGTATCAGATTAATTAAAACTAGTCATTAAGGGAAAAAAAATCTAAAAAAGGATGTTCGGATGGACTATATATATATGGGAGCTCATTAGTCCATAATTCAGGTTCACCAATTGGTGCCTGGTGAGGGTTGAGGGTCTTGTTGAAGCCATTAATGACCTCTTGAATTAAGATCAATAATAGAGAGGAACTTAGTAATCATTTCTGTTCTTTTTTTTTTTCTTTCACTTCCATAAATGGTGTTATGGATGGATAAAGACTTACAGTGTCAATCCAACGAACAGAAACACAGGTGCCAATGAAGACGACGATGAAGAAGAGCACGATGGTTCTTGCATGTCCCTTTTCTGCTAGTTGTGGTCGATATGTCGTCTCCCCGGAAAAGTGTCTCTGAAGTCCAGACCCTTTCCATAAGTCGTTTACCAATCTCTGCAGGTTCTCTTTCATACTCTTTCTTTGATCTCCTCCTACTCCTATCTGATCTCTTTCATATGTATACTCTATTGCTCTAGAATCTCATCGGTCTAATAAGCCCAGGAAACTTATCCGGCCGATCATTTATCCTAATTAATTCCGGCTACCAGAATGAAAACGATCAGATAAATATAATCTGAGAATTAAAAAGGAAAAAAATGAGAGGGAGAGATTACCATAAGACGTTTAAGAAGAAAACATGAATAAAAACATCAAACAGGGTATGCATGTCTCATGTCTGAGATGAGAGTTAAGTATGAATTAAAATGCCATAGAGAGAGCGAGTGAGTCTCGTGAACATGCGGCCTTTTTCTATTGTTGTTTTATGGTTTATGAACGAAACGGAAAAAACAAAGAAGGAAACGTGATTTGCTCTATACTCTGGTTCTTCTGGTTTGGTTGGTCAGTCACGCCACCAACACACCTACACTCTCTTTCTGTTCCTTCTGTTCCTTTTCTATTTGCTTGCTTGTTATGGCTTTAGCATTTTTACTCTATCTTGGTAGGGAGCGGCGCCAATGACTCAGCGTCAAATCTGGGTGGGATTAAGGATTAACAAACCAAAACCGAACTCCAAGCTAGAATTGGGTTCATACCCAAGTCTCTCTTAAGAAACTGGCATGTTATATAGAGAGACATGTAAAAATATGAAAATTCCCAAAAACCTCTATTGAGAGACTGTTAATAGAGTACCAATAAGAGAGAAAGACAGATGAATGTTTGTTACATATATCATCTGATCTCCAAGGACACTATCATGAATGAGTTGGGGACCTATAATCTGGAAAATATAGATGCCAAAACTATTGTTGATGCCCAGAAAAATAATCGAAACAGAAAGATTGAAGAGCTAATGGAGACTGCGAGACTGATTTCATAGACAACAGGGGGAGGGGGAGTAATGCTTTTAAAAACACGGTGTCCGGTGTCCCACATGATATGCAACGTCTGTTATACTTTTTATGGTAATAGGATTGGAAGTAATAACATGGGACTTGGCGTGGTTTTTTGTTTTGGTCGCTTCTCACGAAATTTTAGTCTAGGTTTGACTATTTGGAATGAAGGAATAAGTAATAAGAGGAAAAGTACTGAAACTAGACTACTACTTGTGGCTCCAACTCTAAAATTGTATTCGAAGACTTAACACAGTGCTCTGCCAGCCGGTCTATGAATCATGGTAGGCTAGCTAGGGTGGGGTTTAATTGAATTGAATAATGAATGTATAGTACTCTCTGGAACTCCAATCCGAAGAAGCCTATTGAGTCGATCGAGTTGATTCGGGTGACCACATGACCAGCTACATACACATTTAGTGAGTTTGACTCGCCCGTGTTTTTTGACCGATTCATTGAATTTTAACATTTAATGATACTAGCACTAGCAGGTCCCCTAGCTACCTTCATCAATTTGTTAAATTAGTTTTCTTACTTACGAGGTTACAAGCATGCATGCAAACGAATGCCATCACTTTAATTAGTTGGGGTTTACACTTCACACAAACCACGTTTAATATACAAATTGGCGATTTCAATTCAGTTTCTTGAGTGGTTTAGGGCATACGATAAGATAAAGAGGATTCATTATTTCATTATTGTGGGGACTGGGGAGATTAATAAATATTAGAAACAAACTTGTAATCGCAGGCGCCATTTGTTTCAGTATATAGAAAGGACGTGGGAAAGTTTTCAATGTTTCAGTTATATTTCCACCATCTTTTTCTATGGCCAAGACTTTGTATACATGGAAAAAAGTCAACCGAATTAATTAATGAATATAGTTCAGATGACTACATTCTCAAGAAAATCAGGCAAAACATCAAAAGTAAAACAGCGACATTGGCATTGTTTCCACCAACTTGAGTTTGGTAACTCCCAACTTCAAATTCATTCAGCAATTCTCAATTACAATTCAAGTGAATACAGTCAACGAGAAAGGTAAGTAAAAAATAATCTATATCCATATCTATACCATTTTTCAAAGTATAAATAGGGTCTGGTTTTCACTGAATTTATTGGGATAAATGTGTAATTTGACAAAACACCATAAATAGGGTCTGTTGCACCTGCCGTTGTTTCCTTCTGTGACGACCATGGAATCTTATCCAACTTCTCCTTACTATCTACACCCATCTGATAACCCAGTGAGCATTCTTGTATCTTTTCCTTTGATTGTAGACAATTATTTGACATGGCAGCGGGTCATGTGGGATGCACCGAGAGCCAAGAATAAATACTGGTTTGTGGACGGATCTTTACCACGACCACCAAGATCATCACCAGGAGAATGCTTGGGTTAAAGGTAATTCAATGGTGGTTTCTTGGTTGTTCAATTCTCTGGCCAAAGAACACGAAAATGTAGCTTTCATTGAATTAGGTTCTAAGATCTGGAAAAAATTAGAAGAAAGATTTGCATAGAGCAATGTCCTGCGGCTCCATTAGCTAAAATGGGACTTGGCAATGCTACAAAAAGGAGACCTAACCGTAGCAAGATATTTCACAAAACTCAAAGGGTTGTGGGTTGAACTCGAAAGCCTCACCAATCTCCCGTAGTGCACCTGCGAAGCCTTGAAACATTTCATTGCTGATTGCAAGAAAGAAAATCTCCACCAACTCTTTATGGGTTTAAATGAATCTTTCAACATCATCCGATCGAACATTCTGGAATCGGATCTGATGCTGCACAATCTGGGCACTCCTAGTTGGCTGAGAGTTGGCTCCTAGCTGTGATGGACGACACCTGAGAGGAAGAAGAAGGTGAAGGGTTCCCGGGAAGCTCTCCTGGAGGGAACACTCCGATGGCTAAGTTAGAACTCTGGGGGAAACTCAAAGAAGATACAGAGAGTTAACAGTGCTGAAAGTGCTAGCTTCAATACCTTCACTTCGTGAGGGTTGGGGCTCTTTTATATCGGAGTTCGGTCACATCTGGCATAACCGCCACTGCCCTAGCCGTTACTGCTAGGGCAGGTGTGGCAGGTGTAGGCTGCTGTTGTAGGGTACGGACTCGACAGGCGTGCCATGCTTTTCAGAGACATCAAGCAGAACGTTGCCTGGCAAGCAGAATGCCGCCTGGCGAGGGATCCGAGCCCTGCCACCGGATCCGGTAGGTACGGATGTCAGGCAGGCACGGATGTCAGGCAGATCTCTTTGCAGCCTGCCGAGCTATTGTACACCGAACCACCTGGGGCAGGTTTTCCTTGCACCGAGATGCCGAGGTACCCGCACTGGAGGTAGGCCTTAAGCAAGTTCGAACAAGAGTCTTGACGGTGCTATCCCAAGGTGTTTCCCCCTCGGGACACTTAACCAAAAACCGGGGTTCTCCCTTCTTTGGAAGGGAGAGCTCGGGGCCCCTTAGGAGGAGCTCGGGTCCTGAGAGGAGTTCGGGATCTCCCACACATGGTGGGAGTCAAGGTTGGCCGGGCGCTAGTCCCTGACGAGTCGCTTAACCCGCCGAGTGGCCAATGTTGGACTCGGCGGGTCCCTCTCGTCGAGTCACGGTTGTGCTGTTAGGCTGAGCTGTTCGTCGAGCCAGGTCACACACACGTGTCCCTGTGCTGCGAGGTCGGGCCAAATCACCCTCCATCAATTGCCCCCCACTCCCCATGCTGGGGGTGCTGACCCAGCGCGGGGAGTTCACGGTGCGCCGGTTGGATTTGGCTCGACACTTATGCCACCCTGTCGGGCAACCCGTTGGCTAGACCGGTTCGGTTCACTCGGAAGGAAAAAACTCGGGCTAAGTACAACTCACACGCGGACGTCACGCGATCTGGACTTCGCGAACGCCAAAAAACGTGCTAAATTGATTTCACCTCGAGAGCCTCGCAGTCGGTTTTCTTGAGAACCGTCAGATTACTTCGATCTTGACCGTTGTTGCCCGAGCCTAGCAGCTATAAATAGTTGGGGACCCTGGTCATTTTCTTCTGCCACTAAGTATCATTCGTCTAGCTTGAGCTCGCGTTTGGAGTCTTCAGCTCGGGTCTTCTAACTCGTCCAGTTCTAGTTCGGTTGCGTTTTTCCTCAGTGAGTCCCCGAGCCTCCCTTTTTCCCTTTTCAGTTCATTTCATTCAATGTCTAGCGGGGACAGTCTCTTCGACGAGCCTGAGGTGGGTACCTCGGGTCAGGGTGATCCCGCTGTTGCCTAGCCTTCCCACGAGGCACGGGTGACCTCGGGTAGGCTAGCATCCACCTCCCACCGAGGTCGGATTGCAGATTAGTTTGGTCCATCCACTATGACGCTGGAGAGACTTCAGCACCTCATCCAGCATTTCAACCTACCTCAGGAATACTCATATAGTCTTCCTACCGGCAACTTCCCTTGGGAGCATGGTCTGGATGAGATCGTGATCTTTAGAGAGCAACTCATCGGCAGGCTTCGTCTCCCTCTTCACCCCCTTATCCCTGAGGTGTTGAGGCGCTTTAATGTCACGCTGGACCAGCTCCACCCAAACTCTATTTGAAATGTGGTCGGGACTATCTCCCTTTGTTTCGAATACAACATTCCCTTAGATATAGATATCCTTTGTTCTATTTTGTCAATAAAGAAGAGCGCCTCGGGCGTTCTCCCCGAGCACAGGCGGACCTACTATCTGTTCCCTTGCCCGGGCTTCAAATTGTTACATAAATTCCCAAGCAAGGTCCCGGCCTGGAAGCGGGACTACTTTGTAGTCCGGAGCAGCACAAGGTGGCCCTTCCTTACTAGCTGGAGGGTGGCTACTCAAGACCCCGTTATTATTCTCGACCGGAAGACGAGGGAAACATTCCACTCATGGGCTCAGGTCGGGTTTGATCACAAAGATTACATTGCCGAAGAGAAGCTCATTTAGGCCGGTTTGAGCCCGGGTAGGTCTATTTTTACCTTAGTGTCTTGCTTAATCATCTAAGTGTTTTCAAGCTTACTAACGCCGAGCTTTATTGCAGGTCCCATGGAGGAGGAGAGGATTACTGGTCAGAGGCTCCTTCGCCAAATGAAGAAGAGGAAGAAGCGAGCCGCCAAGAAGGCGCGCGTAGAGCCCCAAGTACCCCACCCCTGAGCCCGACCTCCCACAGGTTCCCTGTTTGGGGCCCGGGCTCCCACAGGTTCCTTCTTCGGGGCCCGGGCTCCCACAGGTTCCTTCTTCGGGGCCCGGGC